CTACAGGAGGGGGAATACTGATTCCAATGTTCTTCCATATAAACATTTCCGGCAAACAAAAAAGTAGCACATTCAGGGATAAGGTTCTAGTTCTGACGACTGTGTGCTGTGTTCATTTTGTAGGATGCCTGCTACAGAGGACCATTCAAAAATGTGATCTTCCCTCCCTCCCCCAGGGTATAAAATGGTATAGTCCATTCTATCATTTCAGGACTCTAGTACAGGGGTTCTCAACCTGTGGTCTGGTTCAGTAGCCAGAGGGTTTGGCTTCTGAAGGAAGAGACTTTGGGAGTCAGTGATTTCTGTCAGGCAATAGTCACAAAAGTACTTCTACAGGGAGAAGAGAGACTCCATTGTCTTAAACACATTAGAAATACTCTGAAGGAAAATTTAGATTCTCAGTCAAGAGAGCTACAGAACAGCTTTATATAGACAATGGATACTAGAGAAAGATTTGGCAGAAGGTTTGGGTAGTCAGAGAGAACTCCCATACAAGCCAAATACTAAAAGGCAATATTGCTTCTTAGAGACAAGGAGAATAACTTCCTGCCAGTGAAAGGGGCTGGGAAGAGAACCCCATTCTCTGATAGGGGAGAAGTTTTAGACACCTCAGGATTTAGTGAAAAGCTGTAATATCTAAAGGGAAAACCTAGATCTCTGAAGGGAGAAACCTAGAAGCACTAACACAAAGCTATCCTCTAAGAAACTGTATTCAAGATTCTGTGTAACAGCTGAAATGTATGCTAAGCAAAGCACCACTCGTTGAAAAGATCTCAAAACTCTGAAAATAAACCACAACAACACTCTTTTGTATGTTCTAAGAATTCAAATTGGTATATATTAGAAAGTTTGTCCTCAACAACCACTATACCTGGAGTCCACATTTTTATCTATTCCCTGCCTGTTTATTAAAATCTTTATTCTGTTTTGAACGTTAATTTTGCCTCACACGCCATTTCATGAGGGTATTTTAAAACAAGATAGCTCCTCTACACCCTCTAGTTCCTGTGCTGGTTCATAAGCCTAAACTAATATCTGTGACAGGGTAGGACAGCTAAAAGCTTATAAAATAAAGAAGAAATACACGCTACTGAAGGGTGGCTGAGTCACTGAGAGGAACTAAAACATTTTTGGTGGGAAACTCTATCTGAGAGTGGGGAAGTGTCAGGGATTAGTTATAACTGCCTTATCAGATTCTATTGAGTATTTTTGTCTGCTCTAATTAGCATGTTTCTAAACCAATTAATTCAGTTGCCTACATAAGCAGACATTGTTGCTGCCATTGTGTACACATATGGGATTGGATCCAACCAGCTTTTCCACTGGGGGAAAGGGAATCTCCTTTGACCACACAAAATGGCTGAATTGGGGACTGTGGGAGCTGCATGGACATAAGCCAAGTTGGACAGGGGCTGTAATAAGGAGAATCGGGAAAGCCAAAGTCAAAAAGCTGACAAGCTCCAATCTGTTTTTTTCTCCCATTATCTCATCTGGTCAACAGGTTTTTGAGACATTATCCGAGAGGCAAAAATGGGATGAACATACACATCACAGGCAACAATCTCTCTCTCCTATCACCTTCAACAGTGGATTTCAAAAAATAGGCTGATTCCACTGGCAGGGCTCTTTTTGCAGCAGGTACTCATTTGCATATTAAGCGACACACCCCTAATGTAGCCAATCCTGTAAGAAGAGCTCTGGAAGCTCTTGGAGGATTGGCTACGTTAGGGGGTGTGGCCTAATATGCAAAGGAGTTCCTGCTACAAAAAGAGCCCTGCGTTCTGTGCATTCCAGAAGGGCACTTTCACTTACCACATAGATTTGCTCATATGGTGTTCTTGATTTCCTCTGCCATTTAATACAGTTAACATTAAATATGGAGATGTTGCCAAATACAACTTCTTTTTCTGAAAGAAAACAGCGGAAAAAAGACACTGGAACAAAATAATCACAGACTGTGTATCGACACCATTTAATGAGGGAATGCTGTTGTCTGAAATGGATTATACAACACTAATAAAGTATAAAGTAGCCGTTGGCAGCCAAATAACTTGCTGGTTAGTTCAAATCAATATGTGAAATTCAGCCCCATTGCCCAGAGTTTCTTGGCTGTCTTCAGGCTGCTAGCTCTCAACACTGGAGAAGCCACAATTGGCAGATCAATCTAGTCTTGGGACTATGATTATGACTTTTCCTGTTCACTTCCTTCCTGCCAAAGTACACATTCCCCAACCCCTTTCATGTCTTTTACCATGCATGATTTCGCCAGGGGCTTCCTTTTAGAGCCACAGTCTAAGGATGTAGAAATCAGGGATAGGAAATGGGAAAATTCAGAAACAAAAGAGTTTTGTTTTGTTTTTCTAAGGGCTCCCCCCCCCCGAGTTTTTTACAGTGGAAGTTATAGCAACCATGACAGTAACTCCTGAGTTTCTTTTCTTTTTCCTCCCTGAAAACGTTTTCTGCACTGTGTAGTACAAAGATTATTATGTGACAATCCAGAGCAGTGATCTTCAAGCTCACAGGTCAGGACCATCACGGGGGTCATAGAGTCCCATATGCAGAGTCACAAGCCTGTGGCTTCTTTCTTGTTTTTTGGAAGAACCTGCTGCTGAGCACACGTTCAGAGCAAGGGTGCCATGCCTCCTGCCTCTCCTTGCATGTACACTGAGCAGAACAGCAGGTGATGTCAGTCAGTGGGGGAGAGGATTCTTTTAGCATCAACAGGTTCAGAGACTGCCCGTTTCTCTTCCTGTCATGTGACTCTGGTATCACGTGCTGGCAGCTCAGTGAGACCCAGCTGCCACCTGGGGTCCCAGGTCTGGAAATGTTGTAGATCATTGATCTAGAGCAGTAGATAATGATAATTCTTGTTTACATCATGGGCATATACAACATATTTTCAAGAATTTCTATTATGGGGCTAATTTTTTTTTACAGTATGACAAGCTATGTATATGTTGACAATACACCGTTAAACAGCTTCATGTTTTCAGTGATGTTAAACTGAACTCAATACTTAATAACAACAAAGTTTAATACTATCTTTAATACTATGAAGACTCTTTCTGAGTCCAAGGAATAAACCTTAGGTTGGATCCAGTGGTCTGTGGATGCAAGGACTGCAGATCTTCCCAATGTGATCCCCTCACCCCCACCAGCAGCCCTTTCAGATCCTGTGAAAGTAGATTCCTGGGGTCACATAGCACAAGGTGACTAATGGCCATAGGGCTATAAGGAAAAACAACAGGGCAAATCTGCAATCTCACTCAAACTGACAATTTTGCCTTCCCTCATGGTAACTGGACTGCAAACTGTTTAGTTCCCTGACCAGCAGAACTAAGTCACTGCACTACCTCAGGCTATCAGTGTTGGAGGCTTCACTGCCATAACTATGATAATGATCAGAGACCCTGCTCTATGTACCCTGCCTTCTAAAATTAGGTGAGTAAATGCCAGAAGGCAAGGATTTCTCTGCTATGGCAACCTTTACCACAGAAACTTGCCTGGTGCCAAGCTTACTGAGTTTTAGGTAACAAACCTCGTCGTCTTTTAATGTAAGTTATGTCTAAACAGTATGATTTTATAGTGATAGTTTTATTGGGATTTTAATGTATATTTATTATGTTGTTAGCTGCCCTGAGCTGCCATATGGCAGGGCGGGCGGGATATAAGTGTAAATAATAAATAAATAAATGTTCATCCAGGCTTTTACTGATTTTGTAGTTGTTGCTTTTGATTTCTCCTCCCTTACGCAAGAGTCTCACAGCGGGTCAGTTCTTGATGGCTTTAATGCTGCTCTCAGGTAGGTAGCTTTTGGATTGTTAGGCTTTACATTTTTTTGTGTGTTTTATTTATTGCTGTTTTTCATTTACTCTTTTTAATATTAGAAGTTGCAGTAAGTAATACTGAGGAGGCAGGAAGCCGACTCATTCAACTAAATCAATGCTAGATTAAAAAAATATATCTTAAAACGGTGTAGTTTTAACTTGAGAACAACTCACCCCTGCAGTGTGTACTGTCTATAAACAGAGACTGTAGGTTTTGGCTCTAATATAAGAAAGACATTTACACAGCCTCAGAATACTGATTGTTTTCTCAAGGTCATGTCATGTGTTACCATTTTTAGTCATGGGGAATGTTTTAGATACTGATCAGAAAGTCATTCCTGTGGGAAACTGTATACAGTAAACCCACACTAAGGAAGTCAACTGATTAACAGGCACTCCTCCTGCATGGGGAACTCAGGAAATTGTAGTTTTGTGAGGGAAGGGTTAGCAATATCGAAGAAAAATTTCTCTACCTCCCCAGAATATAATTCCCAGGATTCTCTGAGAAAAGCCACAACAGTAAAAAGGGACACTAAAACTGACATAAGTAATGTGGTAGATAGTACAATAACTGTCATAAGAAAAACACAGACAAATTGCTACAAAATTCTTGGAACACTCATGCCCTCTTCATAAATAGCCATTATGTAAGTAGAACAGAAACAAATGCAGAAAAAGCAGCTGTATACATACCTTTAGCAGCATGGCTGCCACTGCCTCCAAGTTTGCTCACATACCTGTCCACAATGGCATAAAGAGTCCCACACATTTTATTTATTTTATTACATTTTTATCCCAACCTTCACTGAAAGTTATCCCAACCTTCCCAACCACTGGGTAGCATATGTGGTTCTCCTCTAATTTATCATGACAACCCTGTGATGCAGACTAGACTGACAGAGAGTGACTGGCTCAAGATCACCCACTGAGGCTCATCATGGCCACGTGAAGATTTGAAGCTGGGTCTCTCCAGGACTAATACATGAATACACTACACTACACTACACTACACTACACTACACTACACTACACTAATGCAAACGATAGATTTGCCAAATGGCCCTTGTGTGATATATAAACATGGCATCAGAACCAGGGCCCATTCTAGAACCAGGGCCCATTCTAGGTTTTGGGGATCTCCAGGCAGTAAGTGTCCAGGGGCCCCTCCTCTCTCTGCCTACCACAAACCCAACTCTCACACCTCCCTTCCTCCTGCTTGCCTCCCCATCTCCCTCACTGTCTACAGCTAGGAATACTGGAGACAGGGTAATTGCAAGCAAGCAGAAAGGTCAAGGGTGCACAGGCTGCTTAGTTAAATTCTGCTTTCCCTTCTGCAACACAGGACTGGATGAAAATACAGATTTATTCTTCTATCTGAGGCCCTGAGGCTAAAGATGGCTCCCAGTTCCTTATTTGTGGATCCAACCAAAAATATAGATGGTACTTTAAAAGCTCTGCACCCTCAAAAAGCTTTGGACATCACACATCCTCAGACTGAAGGGGCTCTGCCCTGAAAAGGAACCATGAAGTGCCCTGGTTCAAAGCCTGGTTTGAGTGCTAACTGCTCCAAAATGGGGTGCTCCCCCAGGAGAAATGAAGATTAAAATACTGGGGGTCAACTACACCCAACAAGCTTGGGCCACCATGTATCACATACTGCCAGACTTTGGGGGCTATACCCGGCAAGGAGACATAGACCATTCCCTGGCCCAAAGGCAGAGTCTGGTACCAAGAGCATCCAAGTCATGCACACCAAAAAAACCTCACTGAACATGCTCAGAATGAGGAAACTGGGGCAGATCATCCCTTCTGCACCACCAAAAAAGGCTTTGGGCCATCCTAAATAATGTATTCACAGACCCCGGGCACCATTAAGGATACAGAAGGTTTCCTGGACAAAGACCTGGTTCTGGGAATGCCATCTGAATCAGGCCACCCAAAACCATATGCCCCCAGTTACTGGGGCTATGCCCTGAAAATGGACCCATCGAATTCTGATTCTGGCACCAAGATCATAAAAGTAGTTTTATTTTATTTATAACGTGCTGGAGCTCTCACCAGAATCACATATTACTATCCTCAGACCCCCCCTCCAAAATAATATCAGAAAAGGCTAAACCAGATTGTGAAGGAATTACATACACATGTACAAGAACAAATCTGTATAGACACAGCCCAAGAACCTTGAGAAGGCACCTTCTGTCTCCTACCCAAAATATACAAACTGGATAACCCCAGAGAGCCCACTCATTATCTCAAGCACTGGTACAATCATAGTTGGGGTATTTGATTATATATACAGTAAGTACATGGTTCCTCATTCAGCAAATGTTATCAATGCAAATCAATGGGATCTTTTAAGACATCACAGTTTGAAGCTGGGGACTTTCAGCTGGGGAATATGTATGTTCCCTTTCAGGGCACAGCTCCCAGAGAGTTTGGGGGGGGGTAATGATTTGGGTGGCGCACAAGGCTTTATTTCAGCCACAGAAAGGATACAGCTGCCCCAGTTCTTTGTTTGCCCAATATTATCAATAGAATGGGATGTCTTGGGAGGTCCTTGTTCTAGAACCAGGCTTTCAGCTGGGGAATAATCTGTCCACACAGGGTAATGTCTCTAGCACCCGGTGTATGTGTGTGTGTGGGCGGTATGGTTTAGGGTTATACAGTTTGTTTGGTGGTCTGAAAATCTGGGTCCTAATTTTTCCCAGTGTGCAAACACTGTAATTAATAAATGGTATTAAGCACAATACACAAATCAACAAATAAAACCACATAAAAGCAACACAACTTCAAGCCAAGAAAAATACATGGTATAAAAATACATAATACATGGGCAGCAGAATAAGGTATTGGCAGAATACAGAATACAAAAACGGTGCACAACCTGATTAAAGAGTAGATAAAGGTTTATTAAGGAATTAACATACTTGATAGGAAAGAGGAGAGACAGAGATAGGTTCCTAACTACATCTCTAGCTGAGAGAGAGGGTAAGACTGAGTATGGCAGTTCTGAGGACACAGGGGGAATTGCCCTAAGAGTATTTTTTTTTAATTTATTTTAATTTATTATTGCATTTCTACCCCACCCTCCCCACAAGCGGGCTCAGGGTGGCTTACAACAGGGCAATCTGGAGACAGACAAGGAATGACATTCAACAGTAGAGAAGGTGCTGACCTCGCTATACTATGTAATTGTCTTCTTGCTGCCCCCTGCAGGGTCTTCTTCTCTTTTTTGTACACCAGACACTGCCTTTTCCAACATAAGGAAACAGCTTCTAGTGGGTTTCAGGCAAAACAACTAAAAACATGGAACATGACACAACTAAAAAAAACACTAGAGGAAACATAAATGAAAAACGTAACATATGGACAGTAAAAGAGCCATCTAAATAAAACCTAAGTGAAAAACATAACATGGACAGTAGAAAGAAATCAAACAGACAAAAAGCAGAGGATTACATAGCAATGATACACACAATAGCCTAATCTCCCAATGACCTTCAGCCTATCTAGTTGAAAGCTTAAAGGCCTAACTATCTGTGACCCGTGACACGAGTCGAATCAAGGATCCCCCAACTCACAGTAACAGTACATTAGGGCACTCTTTTGAAAACTCCTTTGTTCAGTGTGGCTCAGAGAACTACGGAGGAGGAGGGGGAGGGCTTCTGACTTCACTCCCACACTATTTTCCCTAGCAGAAATGGCCACCAGGGGTGGGCTCTTTATCCCTTCCTCAGGCACCATGTGACATGAGGTCATGTGACTGAGGACACATGGCATCGCAGGAAGAAGTGAACATGGCCCCCCTGCAGCTGTTTCTGCTAGGGAAACAGTGCAGGAGCTGAAACTAGATGCCCCCTCCCCACTCACAGTACTCTGAGCTGTACCAAGCAACGGAGTGGTTTCTAAAGTAAGTCCCCTGATATATGTGTGACTGTGAGTTGGGTAGGGGGACATCCCACCCAACTCATGTCATATGACATGTATCGCTGGCCCCCATTTGTAGGAGAAGTGAGAAACTTTTCCTCTTTATTCAATTATCAAAAATTATTATTCAATTATTTTCTTTTTGAGGATCAATAAGACAGGAATTTTCCAAGAAAACATCCTTCCTTTCCATCATATTCTCATCCGAGGAATCTTCTTAATTGTCCATCCCATCTTTACTAGCACATAAAGGTGTGTGCAAGGCCTTTTGGATCATCACGCAAGCAACTGTGCTGCCATTTATTATACTTACAAGCAAGGGAGACCACAAGGATCACAGATGACAGGGTATCATCTCCCCCCTCACCCTTTCCTCTTTCTCTTCCCTGAAAGCCCATGCAATCTGTCCCCTCTTCCTGTTTCCTTTTCTCCTTCTAACCCAGCGGCCAACCCAAATTTATTTGCCCCCCTGTCTTTGGGTTTCCTTCCTTTCCTCCCCCTGGCAACCTCTCCCTGGGAAAACTCTGTGAAGTTCCTGCTACTGGATTCTGTGTTCGCAGAACAAGAAATATTCCATTTAGATTACCTAAATCACTAGTCATTGATGTGGACACTTTCCTTAAGTACAGAACCTACCAGGTACTGGATTTATTAATGAGAACCGTGAAACCAAATTGCTGGATTCTGCTTCGATTTTTATACTGTAGTTTGTGTTTGGATGAAATGGCAAGCATATCTTTACAGCCTCCTCAGCTGTGGTTAGGTTAATCTTCAATTCATTGGCAGTTTTCTTAAATTCATTCCCTAGCACCCTCATAGTAACCTGTAAAGAAAATTAAAGGAAGTCAAGTCGCAGCACTTAAGAGTTCATGGCATATCTACAATACCGACTAAACAGTCTATTTCCTTTTCCTGAGGAAATTTTGGGGACTAGTTTTGCAAGAACTAACAAAGAAGTCACAGCAACTTCAACAAACTACAACTCTCAGAATTCTTAGAGGGAACACTTATGGTTAAACCCACACAGATCTGTGGTTGGATACACTCTAAGAATAATTTGAGGTGGCAATATATCAGCCCAAGTCTAAATCTGTATTAGAGATGCCTTGAAATGGTCTCCTGAGAACTACCCCAGGCTAATTAGAAAGCAGAAGCCTATCTTCTGTACACACAAAATAAACAAAGACCTCTGTATTTACTGTAAAGGTTCCTAACTTGGCCCTGTTCTGTGCCATTTTTAAGAAACTTTGGGCATTCAAGTGGCTTTAGATTCGCTTCCGGTACGGCGCGTCGATCGGGCGGACGCTCGGCTTGCTCCGAGCTGCCCGAGCCTCTCTTGCCTTCTTTCGTGCCTCCCGTTTGGCGGGAGAGCATGACCAGCCCTCCCGGAGAGAGGGCTGGAGCAGGGGGTGTTTTTCTGGCCCCCTCCGTGTTTTGGCAAAGCGGGGTGGTGACCAGAACTGCCCCGAAGCAGAGACGAGGGATGGAAGGAACATGGCTGCCATGCTCCTATTAGACGCCGCCATCCGTCCTTTTAATTATAAGAAGAAATAAAACAAGCGCAGCAACAGAGGAAAAGATGAAAATAATGTGTGAGTAAGATTGTTTTGGATGTTAAAAAGGGAAAGCCCCAGAACGAAAGGTCCAGACTAGTGAGTTACAGTGGCCATGAGAATTGTGGGACTTAATTGTGAACTTGAAATTGACACGGGGGAAGAGAAGGACTTTTTGTTGGCGTCT